CCCCCCCCCCCCCCCCCCCTACCCTTACAAAGGGAAACCCAAGCTCGTATGGACACGGTGAGAGACGGGGCAGGCGATGCCTACCCACCGCCGGCGCGGTCATCGGTTTCGTCGCGAGAGGCGAAGGAGAGGACGGCGTTCCAGAAGGCCAAGGACGCGCTGACGAAGCCGCTGAACGGCGTCTCCTCGCAGTGGGACCGCGGGCGCGTGGCGGCCGATTGTGACGGGTCGTGCCCCGTGTGCAAGAAGGTGCTGCTGCTGGTTGTCGTTGCTTTCGTTATTGTTGTTGTTTGTTGTTGTTGTTGTTGTTGTGGTGGTTGTTACCATTGTTGTTGTTGTGGTGGTGGTGGTGGTGGTGTTGTTTCCGTTGTTGTCGTTGTTGCTGCTTGGACAACAGCGCCGTCAACAACGATAAAATCGAGCAGTGTGTGGGTGTGTGGCATCGGCTGATATTCCTTTGTCGGGTTGGCTCCTTTCTTTCCGTCCACGTTTTTTTTTTTTTTGTCTTCCGCCTCCAGAAATCGGACGGCCACGACGACAACGTGGCGGAGTGCGACTGCTGCAAGCTGTGGGTGCACCATGCCTGCGACAAGGGCGTGGGTCTCGTCTTGGAGCACCCGGAGGTAGATCGTCTGTCGTAGATCTATGGTAGATATTCTATCGTAGATCTACGTGCTGCAGGGGGCGGGTCTCGTCTTGGAAACGGGAGGTATGTTTTGTCCATTTTCCTCTACGCGATTGTCGTTGTTGACAGATCTCTGTACACCTTGCTCAAGATCTCGAGACGTACCATGCAGCCCGACATTGTAGTTTCCATGGCCTCTTACACACGCGTCCGATGCCATGCAGTTTTTGTTGTTTTTTTGTGTCGCAAAACGTCGGCGTGTGCATTGATTCCCCCCGCCCTTTCTCAACCCCCCCCCATCGCCTTCCTCCTCCTCCTCCTCCGGCTCTTCCTCTTTCTTGAGCCAGCTTGACTTCTTCTGCAAGGCTTGTTTGGGTCAAGACAAGATGGAGCTCCGGTGCACACGACTCGACGTGCCGGGCCCCCCGGCCTCACACGCCGTCACCCCGGCCGCAGTGGCTGCCGGCAAGGCGGCCGCGTCTCGAACGGAAGACGCCGCCGAGGCTGCGTTCGTGGAGCGTCGCCTCTCGAAGGAACGTGCGTCGGTGGTGGCAACTGCAGGTGTGTGTGAGAGAGGGGTGTGTGGAGGAAGAGGGGCGGGGGGGGGGAGGGGGGGAGATAGCGAGGGCGAGGGAAAGTGAGAGAGAGAGAGAGAGAGAGAGAGAG